GACCAGGTCCACAATGGTCAGGTATTAGGTAATGACCCTACTAATCTTTAAATAGCACCGCAACGGTCGGTAGTCAGGTCAGAGGGTAAGGTGACCCAACCTTTTCACCTGGTTACAAATCTTCTAAATTACAAACTTGTCCAGTTTGTACATGCCATTACTCAAATTCATGTTGAATGCTTCGGTATGTTTAATGAGACTAGATTCTATGATGTTCCTACTATCAATTGAATTACAAGGTAATATTGAGGAGGCATTATCAATATTACCTTGAAATAGCCCAAGTTTGAATGTAAATGGAAGTGTTTATTGTATTCCATGTAAATGTAATTGTAATTATGTAGGACAGACAGGAAAAACACTGCAGCTCAGAATCAAACAACATAAGTATAATATCAGAACAGCATCTGAAAGCAGTGCCTTGTTCGTTCATGTTAGGAATAATAATCATCCCATTGCTTGGGAAAAAAGCTTAGAAGTATTTAAATCATCTTGTGTCACAGAAATACTTCTGGTTGAAGCTAGTTTGATTAAGGAATTAAAATCAATAAACCTTAGTGATGGTCAGTTCAAAACTGATAATATGTTACATAAATTTATTTGTCAGTGGCCCAAGGTTAAAAATGCTTTGAAAACCTTTGATCTAGATGTATGATAGTTATTTAGTGGGTCCCTTATTTTTGACCTGACCTGACTAGTCACGTCACCCCCCTTCTCTTAAGCTCCTCTACGTGTGTGTTGGTGTGGGGATAAGTGGATGACATCATTATGACCTGACCTCATGTTTTTAAGGTCACCCTGTATATTTAAGCCTCTCTCTGTCCATGTAATCCAGTTGCCTCTGAAGATGTCTTGAATAAAGACGAAAGCTAAGGTGCTCCGTTGTTTCCCTTTTCCCGTGTGATTTTATCAAAATATATATACTGTATATATATATATATATATATATATATATATATATATATATATATATATATATATATATATATATATATATATATATATATATATTTAAATAGCACACAACGGTTGGTGGTCAGGTCAGACCTGACCACCAACCGTTGTGTGCTATTTAAAGATTAGTAGGGCCATTACCTGACCATTGTGGACCTGGTCTCACCCTCCTCTGTATATATACACTCTCTCTAGTCTGTACTCACCCCTGAAGATGTGAATTACACGAAAGTGCTTGGGAACTTCGTGTTTTCTTCTTTCCTTGTGGTTATCAGCATATACCTAGATCACGCGCACCTACAGTGATTTACTTGCATATATATATATATATATATATATATATATATAACGTAAAAATGACGTACTGGTTAAAAGCCCTGTTGCCTCTTTTGCTGCTACACAAAACCGGAAATTCAGACTCGTGAATCTGAAGGAGTATGCACAGAAAAATACATGTGTCTATTGCTTCGGGTTCATGGGTGAATCTCTGGGTTTGTGGAGCAGCAGTAAAGGTTGGCAGACCTTTAGACCGTGACACTGTAGTTCACTAACATAGCCCGACACACGCACCAGCTACCACATGTTAAATATTGGCCCAAACAATAATATCTTCACACTATGCTACAAATAACAGGTACATGATATGAATCAATAATAGGTCTACATTATAACTTTTAATGAATATAATTCAGTATTTTATCTGGTAAACACACATATCAATCATAATTTTTTCTCTAACAATATAGTTTAACATAATCCATTGTCTCACTCACAAAAATTATTTATTATTTATGTTACGATGACATCTGTTCCTTCTTGTACTATAATGCGGCTTGTAAATCATAACAGTTTGTCAAGGTACTGCAGAGTTGTAAAAAGTACCGGACTTCGTTACTTAAGTAAAAGTATTGTTACATTGGCAAAATATTACTCAAATAAAAGTAAAAGTATCAAGAGTTCAATGTACTCAAGTAGAAGTAAAAGAGTATCTCATTCTTAAGGTACTCAAGTAGTGAAAGTAAAAAGTAACAACAAAATTATTGTCTCAAATATTACAATAAATCTACAGTAAATTGTAAAAAAATTAACTAAAGATAAAAATAAAAGACACAGCATTTCACATGTTTCTTTGATAATCTTTCAATTAAGATTAATTAATAACTGATTCTCAGAATTATGGCTGTCCAATGAGGATGTTTTAGGCCTAAATATAAGCTCAGCACAACTAACCAAATACGTTCAGCCGCTCTTCTCCCTACACTCCATCACAGGGATAGTGAAGGGGGCTGAAAATATATCCATCCAACACTATGATCACTTTCTTCATTATCCACACAAGTATCGTCGACGTGACTTATGGTCCGCAGACATAATGTTGTCTCTGCTGGTATTAGGTGAGGACCTATCTGAGGCAGGGGATGACCCAGACTTGTCTTCCTGTAACTGTCCCAACACTAACACCCTTCAACACTATTGCCTTGACTGTTAGGGACCTCCCACCACAGGGAATCGCTAACCACTATAGGTCACCACCTACTTATTAGCAATAATTTAGATTTAAGTACACACTTTGGTGGTGCCAACTCCCATTGTCCTTAAATCATATCAATATTGTCTCCATATCACAAGTCAAAGCGTGTCTTGCGAGACACGAGTACCAAGTATTAGTGTGTGACCTCATGGTCTTGTCGCCCCCTGGGGTGTAATAAATTAATTAAATAAGAAGCCCACCAAGACTAAACAGAGGCAGGTAGTGGGGTGTTAAGCTTCAGAGATAAGTCACATAATGTTGGGAAAGACCTCAGTAGCTCCATTCCAACCCCTGGTCATGCCAAGTAGCTATAAAGTTCCTTCAGTTCAGGAGTTTGTGGATGATTGTTGCCTCCATAGGTGACTGAGTCTGAATAAGACTCACCGTTCACCGGCCCTCTAACTGGGGGTGTGGCCGTGGTGACGTCACTTTTCGATTCTAATTCATGACTGGCTGAATTTTTCGCACCCCCTGGCTGGGCTGGGGGGGGGGTCTTAGTTATTTTAGCAGAATTTTAAGTACACCCAGCGTCTCACACATAGAAACATGATTTATATCTAAGGCGGAAATTATGTAAAGCATTTTAGAATCACAGCTTCTTTGAAATGAATTTAAGGTACAGATATATGTGAAGAGCAACTGATGTCTAACTGGAAGACCGAGCCCCTGAAGGAAGGGTGGGGGAGAAGAGAGGGTTGGATGGGGGAGAAAGAGAGGGGTTGGATGGGAGAACAGAGGGGGTTGGATGGGGGAGGGGGTTGGATGGGGAGAAGAGGGGTTGGATGGGGGAGGAAGAAGAGAGAGGGGTTGGATGGGAAGAAGAGGGGGGTTGGATGGGGAGAAGAGAGGGGTTGGATGGGGGAGAAGAAAGGGGTTGGATGGGGGAGAAGAGAGGTGGTTGGATGGCGGAGAGAGAGGGGGTTGGATGGGGAGGGGCAATAAGAAGGTAGGCTGGGTGAGGTGGGTGGTCAAGGTCACCCACCCCCTCCACCCACACCATACCCCACCCTCCACCCACACCATACCCCACCCTCCACCCACACCACCACCCACCACACCCACCCTCCACCCACACCACACCTCCACCCACACCATACCCCCCACCCCACACACCCACCCTCACCCACACCCACACCCCTCCACCCCACCCACCCACCCACACCACCCACCCCTCCACCCACACCACACCCCACCCTCCACCCACACCACACCCTCCACCCACACCATACCCCACCCTCCACCCACACCACACCCTCCACCCACACCATACCCCACCCTCCACCCACACCACACCCTCCACCCACACAACTCTTTTACTATGGGTAATAATTAATTAATAACAAATAAATTATTAGTTTGCCACAAACATTAAAACTCTGTCTGTTTGGGTCATGTGACGAGTAACGATTTTTGTTTTTCAATTATATTGGAGTAAACGTATTAGAAAACAATACCTGAGTAGAAGGAAAAGTACTACTAAATATTTGAGTACTCTCTAAAAAAGTAAATACCTAAGAATGTTACTTGAGTACAGTAGTCAGGTAAATTTATTTAGTTACTTTACAACTCTGAGGTCATGTTTAATAAACAATAGGTGTGGGACTTACACATTCTAAAACATTCGTACGATAAATGTCTCTTAACTGGAGGTTTTAGAATGACTCCTATTGGTTAACCTAAACTACCCCACAATAATCCCCCCAAGAAGTTATTAAAATTATCGTCACTAGTTCGGTGTTAATATTTACCGTACGAATATCTTTATACAATCATCCGCCTTAGTTGTTAACTGACACAGATATACAGATTTGGGGGCTGCATACTCAAAACGCTCATCAGTTACGTACAGTAGCAGACTGCTTACACTCCCGTAAATTTCTCATACTCAAAATTTAATTACAGTAAATTCAGTTCTCTTGTCCGAAGGTAGATGGCAGTGCATGAGCTAGTTGGCCAATCGTCGCTCAGTTAACAAAATCATCAACCAATCAGAAGAGAAGTAGAAATCAGATGAGATCGACGCACGTGATAGTAGTTTGTTTGGGAACCAAAGATGGAGGGACCTACTGCAAAGAAGAGACGACCAAATATCAGCAAGGAGGAAGTTCTCATAATTTATTAGATTAAACACACTTAGATTGCTTAAATTAAGTTAAGCTCCCTTCAGAACATAAGGACCTCCTCTTGCCTCTCAACTACTCGCATTTGAAGCTGCTTTATGGTAGGAACAGCAGCATTCTCAGCAGCCGTAATGTCTTTTGAACAGGGCCCAGACTTATTAACGGGTTACGAACATCGTAAGCGCTTAAAAGTTCATAAACTTCTGCGGTGGTGATACACTAAATACTTACGAAGTTCACAATTCAATTTAAAATGGCTGACTTTCCTTCATAATTTACGGTGACTTTTGAGATTCTTGGAAGCTATTGCAAGGTGGAAATAAGACCATTTTCTCTACTATACAACCCATACCAAAACACAGCTGCTAGGCGTACTTCAAGCGTCATTAGCGAAGATAGCATTATGGTTGAGTAATATATATACAGTAGAGGGATGGTAAAATTGTATAACAGTGGTATCAGATTTTTTTCTTACAAAAAGTATTTTTTCATAGGTTTTTGGTTTAATACAATCAGTAGTGATACTCTTTTTTGCAGCAAAATTTTTGAAATGTACCTTACCCTAGCATAACCTAACCTAACCTTACCTAACCTAACCTAACCTAACCTAACCTAACCTAACCTTAACATGCCTTACCTAACCTAACCTAACCTTAGAGTAGTTTACCTTACCTTACCTAACTTAACTTAACCTTTCCTTTTTTATAATTCAGTTGCAGAGATGAACAAAGGTTAAAATACATAACAGTGTCATCCTAAGTTAGGTTTATATATCATCAACAGATTTATTGATATGTTGGAGAAATGATTATCAAAAGGTTTGTTGTCTCTGTAAATGTATTTTTAAAAAAGATATTGAAATTTTTCTAGAGAACTTAATTGTTTGCGTGGCTTTCTTAGGTTAGGTTAGGTAGGGTAATGTTAGGTTAGGTTAGGTTAGGCTTTGTTAGGGTAAAATACATTTCACTAATTTTGCAGCAAAAAAAAAACAAGACTGAATGTATCAAATAAAAAAAACAATGAACATAATAACAAAAAATGCCATACCTGTTAACTTTTACCACCTTTTTTTATTAGGTTTGATGAACTTAGATAGTTAAGTATTATTTACCTATGAGTCATGGGCACTTCTTGGATACTTGACAGAATAGCTTGTTATAACTTGATCCTAGCCATACCAAGGCGCAGGTTATTGGTTGAATATGCAAAAAAGAAGGCAAAAATGTTCACTGGACCTCGTATTTGGCTTTCATTAATGAGGATATATACGGCTATACCACATTAATAAGGTCTATCTGCAAGTTTACTCAGTCATAACAAATATTTGTACCATAAATATGGACAATACAAATCTTCTATTTTGGTACAAATTACTTGAAAAGTTGTACGAAGACAAAAGCTGTCTCTTCCATTCAAGCCAATTCTTATTGTAAAAAAAAAAATAACTTAAAAGACAAACTGTAATATCGTATTTTCGTATGTTGATGTATAAAATATTTTCTTCATTATTCTATGATAAAACAAGTCTAACAAGCTTTATTACAACATATATTATTTTTTTTTGTTATGCAATCGGGAATAGCGACTTACTCTATCTGGGTTGAGCGTGTTACAGAAGCTAAGGAGGTCCTTTAAGTTACAATCTCGAATACGGACTCGCTTATGGAGATACCTGTAACACCAGTTACGGGGTAAACAAACCGTTACAGTCCCGTAAATGCTTTTGAGTATGCGGCCCCAGGTTATACAGATAAAAAGGTTCACTCAAGAACAACATGATCTATTAAAGGAAGTTATAATCTGCAGGTTGCTCGTTGCTGCCAAGTGTTACACGTGTAAGTGTTTCTACACATTAAGCTGTAAGAATTCAGCAAGTTGCATCTTCTGATGATTGCAGAGAAATAAAGATATAATGACAAGACGAAATCCCCAAAATAGGCACTGCAACAAATAGGTGTGATGGATTCATACTTGCTAACCTGCAGACTATTACCAACTTGGTGATGGCAGTTGTCATCTTACACTGAGCTGTAAACATCTCGTATGGCGCCAATCGACTGAACAATAAATATATTTATAGTTTTTAAACGATACACATACATTGGTTATTTGGGTTTTAGTACTTCTAGGTACAGTACTGTACATGCTGACAACTACTGGTCAACTACTATTTCATTCAGCTGACTCACTTGAGGTTTTGTTCCCAATTTCACAAACTACTCCCATGACAGAAAAACTACTGTACAGTATATAGAGACATTGATGGGCCGTGAGAACACAACATCACTGCTCTGCCTCCTGGTGTCCCTTAGTAAGAACAAGATCCTCAAAGATTCTTACCTTAAGACTTCCCAGTACTGTACCGGACTCATCACAGTGGTTCACATAAGCTATCTCTAAGACGACAGTCAAAATAGCATAGTTTTATTAGGAATTGGGCGTAAATAAATTGCTGGTGCTCCTTTTCAGACAAAAGACGTTCAAATCTTTTAAAATCTTGACCCTTATTATAAATCTAATTTCTGTACTGCAATTCCATAATTCAGAAATGACTGATTTTTTGCGAGAATGTAATCGTTGTCGTATCCTGCAGTGTGTGGAGCAGGATCTAGAAGTAGTACTGGCACACAAAGAAGTCCTGCTCCTTGCAATCGTAGTTGTAGGCCCTGAAGGAGCTCTGGCCGAAGAGTCCCATGCACTTGCCCGACCCGCTGGGCACCTCCTCGTTCCACGTGTCCTTGCTCATGTCCACAGGTACCCCAGCCTGCAACACACATTCACATTCTTAAAGTATGGTCATAAATATCATAGTACAATAATTGAAACAAAGAAATACATAAAACAACATTGTCTTAAGACTACAACTCATCGTTGGACATCCTGTATCATATTAAACAACAAATATATTGTAAACGCCGGCCACAGCTAAAGGTGGCCAGTACGAGGAGTATTTTGTAATTCAAACTTTATTCACGGTCAATCGCCGGTAAAGGGAAAGTAAAAATTTTCACATTAATTCTACGGATTCAAATTGCCTCGGTGGCGGCAAACCCTACCCACCCTCTGAGAGAACAAGTACAGTAGTTCCTTCGTTTCGTTCTGGATGACAACTAGGCGAGTTTGAAGTCCTCCTGTTTCTATGAGATTCGCCCTCTTGTATCTTGTCCGAAGATTTTTCAGTTCTAAGGCCCTCAGTCTATTTAGATAATTATGCCAACTTATAGTAGTTCAGGAATAATTCTAGTCGTCCTGCTCTGTTCCGTTTCATGTAATGTCGTCTCTCTAAGGCCATGGTCTCCGTTCTCATATACAGTAGTCCAGATGGGGATGGTTTTCTTTACTTCTGTTTCCATTTATTGAGCTGCTTTCAGTATGTCAAACAACAGGTGAAAGAAAAACTTTATTCACAGAGAAATCGAATTATTGTGCCCCACATTGTCTTACATATTGTTATGTTAAAAATTTTTGCCAGTCCTGCGACTATTTGAAAAGCTCGAGCAAATCTTTTGACAAGCTTGCGATACCTTCTGATATTCCTGCCCACCTTACCGCAGTATATCTTAATGTCGTCAGCAAACTTGACAATGTAGCTCGATATACTGTATTGTCATCAATATTGTTAATGTAGATCACAAACAGGGTGAGGTCCAGGCATCGATCATTGTGGTATTCCACTGACAACCCTTTTCTAATCTGACTGTTCTCCATTTATTAACAGTCATCGTTGCCTGCCTTCGAGACAGTGCCTAATTGACTTGGAAATTTTGCCTGTGATACCATGTTTCTAGAACTAAAAGGTCAGCCATGCTTGTGGACCTTAATAAAAACTCATCGACAAATATGAGTCTAAGACGTTTAACAAAGTATGTGGTTGTTACAGGGTGTAGGTAGGTGTTACAGGGTGTGTGTGTGGGTGTTACAGGGTGTGTGTGGGCGTTACCGGGTAGGTGTGGGTGTTACAGAGTGTGTGGGTGTTACAGGGTGTGTGTGTGGGTGTTACAGGGTGTAGATAGGTGTTACAGGGTGTGTGTGGGCGTTATCGGGTAGGTGTGGGTGTTACAGGGAGTGTGTGGGTGTTACAGGGAGTGTGTGGGTGTTACAGGGTGTAGGTTACAGGGTGTGTGTGGGTATTTGGGTGGGTGTGGGTGTTACAGAGTGTGTGGGTGTTACAGGGGGTGTGTGGGTGTTGGGGTGTGAATGGTGTAGGTGTGTGGGTGTTACAGGTGTGTGGGTGTTACAGGGTGTGTGGGTGACGGTGCAGGTGAGGGTGCTACAGGGTGTGTGTGGGCAGGTGTGGGTGTTACAAGTGTGGGTGTTACAGGGAGTGTGTGGGTGTTACAGGTGTGTAGGTGTTACAGAGTGTGTGTGGGTGTTACAGTGTGTGGGGTGCACAGGGGTGTGTGTGGGTGTTACAGGGTGTGTGTGTGTGGTGTTGTTACAGGGTAGTGTGTGGGTGTTACAGGTGTGTGTGTGTGTGTGTGTACAGGGTGTGTGTGGGCGTTACCGGGTGGTGTGGGTGTTACATGTGTGTGGGTGTACAGTGTGTGTGGGTGTTACAGGGTGTGTGTGTGGGTAGGTTACAGAGTGTGTGGGGTGTGGGTGTGTGTGGGCGTTACAGTGGAGTGTGTGGGTGTTACAGGGTGTAATGGGGTGTTACAGGGAGTGTGTGGATGTTACAGGGTGTGTGTGGGTGGGTGTTACAGGAGTGTGTGGGTGGATGTTAATGGTATTGTGTGTATGTGTTACAAGGTGTGTTCCGTGTTGTTACAGGATGTGTGTGGGTGTTACAGTGTGTGTGGGTGTTACAGGGTGTGTGTGGGTGTTACAGAGTGTGTGGGTGTTACAGGGGTGTGTGTGAGTGTTACAGAGTGTGGGGATTTACAGGGTGTTACAGTGTGTGGGTGTTACAGAGTGTGGGTGTTACAGTGTGTGTGGGTGTTACAGTGTGTCAAAGTGTGTGTTACAGGGGAGTGTGTGGGTGTTTCAGAGTGTGTGGGGTGTTACAGGGGTGTGTGGGTGTTACTGGGGTGTGTGGGTGTGTTGGTGTGTGGGGTGTTACAGTGTGTGTGGGTGTTACAGAGTGTGTGGGTGTTACAGAGTGTGTGTGAGTGTTACATTGAGTGTTACAGAGTGTGTGGGTGTTACAGAATGTATGTGAGTGTTACATTGAGTGTGTGTTACAGAGTGTGTGGGTGTTTGAATGTGTGAGTGTTTCAGGGGAGTGTGTGGGTGTTACAGGTGTGTGGGTGTTACATAGTGTATGTGTGAGTGTTACAGGGATTGTGTGGGTGTTACAGAGTGTGTGTGAGTGTTACAGGGAGTGTGTGGGTGTTACAGGAGTGTGTGGGTGTTACAGAGTGTGTGGGTGTTACATAGTGTATGTGGAGTGTTACAGGTTGTGTGGGTGTTGCAGAGTGTGTGGGTGTTGCAGGGGTGTGTGGGTGTTACAGAGTGTGTGGGTGATACAGAGTGTGTGTGGTGTTACAGAATGTGTGTGAGTGTTGGGTGTGTGGGGTGCAGGGGTGTGTGGGTGTTGCAGGGGTGTGTGGGTGTTGGGTGTGTGCAGAGTGTGTGTGGGTGTTGCAGAGTGTGTGTGGGTGTGGGTGTGCGGGTGTTGCAGAGTGTGTGTGTGAGTGTTACAGGAGGTGTGTGGGTGTTACAGGGTTGAGTGTGTGGTGCAGAATGTGTGTGTGATATGTTAGGGTGTGTGGGTGTTACAGTGTGTGGTGTTACAGAGTGTGTGTGTTGGAGTGTGTGGGTGTTACAGGTGTGGGTGTTGTGTGGGGTGTGTGTGTATGAGTGTTACAGGGAGTGTGTGGTGTTACAGGGTGTGTGGGTGTTACAGGAGTGTGTGTGTGAGGTCTGTGTGAGTGTTACAGAGTGTGTGGGTGTTTCAGAGTGTGTGGGTGTTACAGGAGTGTGTGGGTGTTAGGTGTGGGTGTTACAGTGTGTGTGTGGGTGTTTCAGGGAGTGTGTGGGTGTTACACAGGTGTGTGGGTGTTACAGGGAGTGTGTGGGTGTTTGTGTGTGTGTTTCAGAGTGTGTGGTGTTACAGGGAGTGTGTGGGTGTTACTGGGAGTGTGTGGGTGTTACAGTGTGTGTTGGTGTTACAGTGTGTTGGTGTTACGGTGTGTGGGTGTTACAGGAGTGTGTGGGTGTTACAGGAATTGTGGGTGTTACAGAGAGTGTGGGTGTTACAGGGTGTGTGGGTGCTGCAGTGTGTGTGTGTGTGTTACAGGGGTGTGTGGGTGTTACAAGGATTGTGTGGGTGTTGCAGGTTACAGGGTGTGTGTGTGTGGGTGTGTGGGTGTTACAGTGTGTGGGTGGTGAGTGTGTGGGTGTTACAGGTGTGTGGGTGTTACAGTGTGTGTGTGGGTGTTTCAGAGTGTGGGTTGGTGTGTGGGTGTTACAGGGGGTGTGTGGGTGTTACAGGGATTGTGTGGGTGTTGGGGTGTGTGTACAGGGTGTGGGTGTTTCAGAGTGTGTGGGTGTTACAGGGAGTGTGTGGGTGTTACTGGGAGTATGTGGGTGTTACAGAGTGTGCGGGCGTTACAGGGAGTGTGTGGGTGTTACAGTGTGTGTGTGGGTGTTACAGAGTTTGTGGGTGTTACAGGGAGTGTGTGGGTGTTACAGTGTGTGTGTTACAGAGTGTGTGGGTGTTAGTTTTTACTTTACTTTTCTTTTATCCTCTTCACCACTGATCGGCTCGTTAGCCGCTTGGGCAGTCGGTCACGTCTCTGTTACGCACTGTTGGCTAGTACTGGGCATTCACCGGGGCCTGAATGTACCTGAACCTGCTCCAGTGTTGGTCAAGTCTTGTCCTGAAACAGCTCACACTCGGTGCCGTGACAACACTCTCTGGCAGATTGGTCCAAGATTTCACAACTCTCCGAAAAAGTTACCCCTCACAGTTTTCTGGGCTTGTGCCTTCTTCAACCTTGAGCTGTGACCCCTTGTGGGGCGAGCGTCCACCAACTCCAGGTATGTACATTCAGCCACAAGAATAAGAATACACCTACTGTTCGTGTTTGAGACAAAATATCTGGTAACACTGTCCTGAACAGAACAGACAAAATGATCTGTAATTTATGTTTTATTCCTACATATATGTTATAAATACATTTGTTGTTAATGTTTTACTAGTGTCTTGTGTGTATATTACAAGTAATATAGTGTATCCAATGGTAGTAAACTTGTTGCCAAATAGGATTGCAGTTATCGTACAGCTCCCTCCTCCTCCCCCACCTTTTCTCTTACCCTACTTTGTTTTACTGATGTTTGGTTAGTAAAGGAAGGAAGAGGAGTAAATAGAAGAATAAAGAAGGGAAACAAAAAATACTTAGAGATAACAGGTGAGGGGGAGCTGAGTTTCATCATGTGTCTGGATGTGCAGTTTCAACGTTACCAGACCATTTTTGGACCTTACAGCTACAGCGTGTATTATTCCTGAGGGCAACTGTGCACCCCGAGATGTTTATGCACTTCGATAAGGTCGCCCCTCGCTCGTCTGTAGTATAAGTTAGGTAGTTGCAGGCGTTCTAATCTCTCTGGGTAACAGGTTTCGTAGAGTAGGCACCACTCTGGTGACCCTCCTCTGGACATTTTCAATCAATTGACAGTTCTAGCATATCTCGGGGACCAGACGGGGGACAGTACTCCAAACGGGGAAGCACCTCGCTCTTGAAGATCCTGACGAACGACGGACCATCCAGATATTTAAACGACCTTATAAGACCTAGCTTCGTTGCCTGATTCACCTTCTTCTCACCATGGCCCGAGAACTTAAGTTCATTATCGACATACACACCCAGGTCCTTTTCACATTCGGTGTGACCCAGGTGCATCCCTTTGCACTTCGTAACATTGAATCTCTTCGACCATTCTTGACACTCATAGAGATCAGGGTGTGTGTGTGTGTTACAGGGTGTGTGTGGGTGTTACAAGGTGTGTGTGTGTGTGTGTGTGTGTGTGTGTGTGTGTGTGTGTGTACAGGGAGGGCGTGGGTGTTACACAAAGCACACAACACAAAAGCCTCGACGTAACACAAAACAGACCTGACGTAACATACGACACAAGGGCCTCGGTGTAACACATTATTAACTCTAACGTATGATAGTATTACTTCACACAATATAGACGTTACGCAACATTCTCTTACACTTTCTTATAGACAAAAGTAAATGACGATGTTAATACAGCAACACAACTTAACCTAACCTAACCTAACACAGCAACACAACCTAACCTAACACAGCAACAAAACTTACCCTAACCTAACACAGCAACACAACCTAACCTAACACAGCAACACAACCTAACCTAACCTAACACAGCAACACAACCTAACCTAACCTAACACAGCAACCTAACCTAACCTAACACAGCAACACAACCTAACCTAACACAGCAACACAACCTAACCTAACACAGCAACACAATGACAATCGTATTACAAACATGAGCAAAATGAGCATTAAGAGAGAGAGAGAGAGAGAGAGAGAGAGAGAGAGAGAGAGAGCGTACGTGCAGGGAGAGACGGCGCCATAACGGAGGAGACTTATAAAGAGGGTCCTTGGAGGAGGCAGACAATGTGGTGTAGTGTGGCTAACAGTCCTCCAACACACAAAAGCTCAGTCTCACCATTAGCTACTCGGCCGATACTTTTCATTCTGCTGTGTTAAGGTTAAATATTGTTAGTTGGTGCGTCTCGTTCATAACTACTTGACTTTATTTTACTTAAATTGTTTGGTATTTCTTTATTTATCCATACCTGCGCTGTATGGACACACACCAAACTTCAATGGTCACTGTTTGATTATGTTTTAAAAATATATTTTATTGGTTACTGTTAAATAAATTAAATATAATTGTTCTGATATTTTCATTGGTTGACAAGACTTCGTGTAAAACTGTATATGGGTGTAGAGGAAGGTGATGGGTGACGTGTAGTACACTTCCTGTATGGGTGTAGAGGAAGGTGATGGGTGACGTGCAGTACACTTCCTGTACAGGGTGTAGAGGAAGGTGATGGGTGACGTGTAGTACACTTCCTGTATGGGTGTAGAGGAAGGTGATGGGTGACGTGTAGTACACTTCCTGTACAGGGCGGAAGGTGATGGGTGACAACACTTCCTGTATGGGGTGTATGAGGAAGGTGATGGGTGACGTGTACATCCTGTATGGGTGTAGAGGAAGGTGATGGGTGACGTGTGTACACTTCCTGTATGGGTGTGAGGCGTGTGTAGTACACTTCCTGCACAGGTGTAGAGGAAGGAGATGGTGACGGTGTACAGGGTGTAGAGAAGGTGATGGGTGACGTGTAGTACACTTCCTGTGTGTGGGTGTAGAGGAAGGTGATGGGTGACGTGTGCAGTAGACGTGTACACTTCTGTATGGGTGTAGAGTGAAGGTGATGGGTGACACGTGTACACTTCCTGTATGGGTGTAGAGGAAGGTGATGGGTGACGTGTGTACTTCCTGTGGGTGTAGAGGAAGGTGATGAGTGTAGTACACTTCCTGTAGGGTGTGAGAAGGTGATGGTGTGGTACACATCCTGTAGTGTAAGGAAGGTGATGGGTGACCTTCCTGTATGGGTGTGGGGAAGGTGATGGGTGACGTGGTACACATCCTGTAAGGGTGTAGAGGAAATGGGTGACGTTTCCTGTATGGGTGTAGAGGAAGGTGATGGGTGATGTGGTACACTTCCTGTAGGGTGTAGAGGAAGGTGATGGGTGACGTGTAGTACACTTCTGTACAGGGTGTAGAGGAAGGTGATGGTGACGTGTAGTACACTTCCTGTATGGGTGTAGTGGAAGGTGATGGGTGACGACGCTATGGGTGTAGAGGAAGGTGATGGAGACGTGTCACTTCCTGTATGGGTGTAGAGGAAGGTGATGGGTGACGTGTACACACTGGTATGGGTGTAGGAAGGTGATGGGTGACGTGTGGTACACTTCCTGTATGGGTGTAGAGGTGATGGGTGACGTGTAGTGTGGTGAGGTGTGTGTACACTTCCTGTATGGGTGTAGGGAAGGTGATGGGTGACGTGTATTACACTTCCTGCAGGGTGTAGAGGAAGGTGATGGGTGACGTGTAGTACACTTCCTGTACAGGGTGTAGAGGAAGGTGAGTGTAGTACACTTCCTGTGGGTGTAGAGGAAGGATGGGTGTGTAGTACACTTCCTGTACAGGGTGTAGAGGGAGGGTGATGTGGACAGGGGAAGGTGATGGGTGACGTGGTACACTTGTACGGGTGTAGTGGAAGGTGATGGGTGACGTGACTTCCTGTATGGGTGTAGTGAAGGTGATGGGTGACGTGTAGTATACTTCCTGTATGTAGAGGAAGGTGATGGGTGACGTGTAGTACACTTCCTGTATGGGTGTAGTGAAGGATGGGTGACGTGTAGTACACTTCCTGTATGGGTGTAGGGAAGGTGATGGGTGACGTGTAGTACACTTCCTGTATGGGTGTAGAGTGATGGGTGACGTGTATACACTTCCTGTGTGTAGAGGAAGGTGATGGGTGACGTGTAGTACACTTCCTGTATGGGTGTAGAGGAAGGTGATGGGTGATGTGTAGTATACTCCTGTGGGTGTAGAGGAAGGTGATGGGTGACGTGTACACTTCCTGTATGGGTGTAGAAGTGTGGGTGACGTGTGGTACACTTCCTGTATGGGTGTAGAAGGTGATGGGTGACGTGTGTACACCTCCTGTAGGGTGTAGAGAAGGTGATGGTGATGTGTGTGACAGGGTGTAGAGGAAGGTGATGGGTGACGTAGTACACTTCCTGTATGGGTGTAGTGGAAGGTGATGGGTGACGTGTAGTACACTTCCTGTATGGGTGTAGTGGAAGGTGATGGGTGACGCACACTTCCTGTGGTGTAGTGGAAGGTGGTGTAGTACAAGGGTGTAGAGGAAGGTGATGGGTGTAATACACGTGTGTGTGTACACTTCCTGTACAGGGTGTAAGGAAGGTGATGGGTGACGGTAGTAAACTTCCTGTGTAGGGAAGGTGATGGTGACGTAGTACACTCCTGTATGGGTGTAGAGGAAGGTGATGGGTGACGTGTGTATGGGTGTAGTGGAAGGTGATGGGCACGTGTAGTACACTTCCTGTACGGTGTAGAGAAGGTGATGGGTGATGTGGTACACTTCCTGTGTAGTACGTCCTGTAGTGAAGGTGATGACGGTAGTACACTTCCTGTATGGGTGTAGTGGAAGGTGATGGGTGGTAGCACACTTCCTGTACGGTGTAGAGGAAGGTGATGGTGCGTGTAGTACACTTCCTGTATGGGTGTAGAGGAAGGTGATGGGTGACGTGTAGCACACTTCCTGTATGGGGAGAGGGTGATGTGACGTGTAGTACACTTCCTGTAAGGTGTAGGAAGGTGATGGGTGACGTAGTACACTTCCTGTACGGGTGTAGAGGAAGGTGATGGGTGATGTTCACTTCCTGTACAGGTAGAGAAGGTGATGGGTGACGTGTAGCACCTGTAGGGTGTAGAGGAAGGTGATGGGTGACGTGTACACTTCCTGTACTGTAGTAGTAAGGAAGGTGATGGGTGACGTGGTCCTGACGGGGGTAGAGAAGGTGATGGGTGACGTGTACAGTACAGGGTGTAGAGGAAGGTGATGGGTGACGTGCTTCCGACGTGTACGTGTACACAGGGCACTGGCCTCCTTCCCTTGCCATGGCCACCGCTATTGGGTGGCCGTAGATGTGGTGATGATGGTCGAGGTGTGGTGGTGATGGTGTGGGTGTGATGGTGATGGTGTGGGTGTGGTGATGATGGTCTAGGTGTGGTGGTGATGATATAGGTGTGGTGATGATGATCTAGGTGTGGTGATGATGATCTAGGTGTGGTGATGATGGTGTGGGTGTGGTGATGATATTGTAAGTGTGGTGATGATGGTAAGGGCGTGGTGATGGTGATGTGGGCATGGTGATGATGGTGCACTAACCTGAGAGCCAGATGACCAGAGCCATGGCCCATCCTCGTGCTGTGAGCCACCAACCCACAAGTACTCAGGAGGATCTGAAACACAATAATAATTCAACAATACAGGAGGATCTAAATAAACTGCAGGGGTGGTCTGAAAAATGGCAAATGAAATTCAACACCAGCAAGTGCAGCGTACTTAATATTGGAAGAACAAATACTTATAATGTATACAGCCTTAACAACATCAACCTAGAGAAGTCGACTTGTGAAAGAGACCTAGGGGTACTTGTTTGCCCGGACCTACGGCCTAGAAAACAGTGCGTTAATGTTCGAAATAAGGCAAACAGAGTATTGGATTTTATATCTAGAAGTGTAAGTAATAAGAGCGCAGAGGTCTTATTGCAACTATATCTTGCGCTAGTCATGCCGCACCTCGATTATGCGGTTCAGTTCTGGTGCCCCTATTATAGAATGGATATCAATTCACTAGAGTCGGTGCAGCGAAGAATGACAAAAATGATTCCGGGACTTAAAAACCTTCCATATCAGGATAGGTTAAAGAAACTTAACTTGCATTCCCTAGAAAGACGAAGAGTGCGGGGAGATATGATAGAAGTATTTAAATGGGTGAAAGGAATCAATAAAGGGGAGATAGATAAAGTTCTTATAATATCCGAGCAGGATAGGACTCGGAACAACGGATTCAAGTTGGATAAGTTTAGGTTTAGGAGGGAGATAGGAAGAAACTGGTTCACAAATAGGGTGGTGGACGAGTGGCACAAGCTTAGCAACTTTGTAGTAAGTGCGGGAACTCTGGAAAGTTTCAAAAGGAGGCTGGATAGATTCATGGATGATAGAGAGTGGCAGTAACTCTCGACAGGAGCTGCCATGCACAGGCCAACCGGCCTATTGTAGACTCCATATTTTCTTATGTATGTTCATTTTCTACATAACATAACCTAACCTAACCTAATCTAACAAACAAACAAGTGTCTCGGTCATAACAAACAAGTGTCTCGGTCATAACAAACAAGTGTCTCGGTCATAACAAACAAGTGTCTCGGTCATAACAAACAAGTGTCTCGGTCATAACAAACAAGTGTCTCAGTCATAACAAACAAGTGTCTCGGTCATAACAAACAAGTGTCTCGGTCATAACAAACAAGTGTCTCTGTCATAACAAACAAGTGTCTCGGTCATAACAAACAAGTGTCTCGGTCATAACAAACAAGTGTCTCAGTCATAACAAACAAGTGTCTCGGTCATAACAAACAAGTGTCTCGGTCATAACAAAGGATTACTTTACCTTGTACACTAGTAAGGTATTCTCTGAGGGAGGGCAGGCTGCGTGGGGAGGCCAGGTCGCCGCCCAAACGCCCACACTCCCGCCTGGCGTCTTCCCATCCTAACAGTTCGTCGGCAGAAAGGAAGAAACATTCCCCGTTGACTTTGGCGAAGGGCTGAGGGCATGAGGAGTACGCCGCTGCTGCCCATCCTGCGCCAGACGGAGATTATGAAGAGTCGCGAATGACAGGTAAAAGATATATTAGTCACCCAACTCTCTCTCTCTCTCTCTCTCTCTCTCTCTCTCTCTCTTTATAATTCACTCTCAACCCAACTTTTCGTCTCCTTTGCCTCCTCCCCCCCCTCCTCCTCTCTTATGTATTCCCTTTTTATCTTTATCACATTCTCTTATTTCTTATTCTCCCTTTTCTCTCTCGTATATTTTCCCCTCTCTTCCCTTTCCATCTTATCTCTCATCATTCTTTCCCCATGTCCTTGCTTCCTCTCTCCCTCTCTTCTCTTCATCTCTCTCTCTCTCTCCTTATTTCTTTCTTTTCCTCTCACCTAACTCCCTCCTTCTCCCTGGTGTCTCCCTTCTTCTCCCTGTCTACTTCTCTCTAATATATCCCTGCCTCCCCCTCCCTGCCTCCCCCTCCCTGCCTCACCATGCTCCTGGTCATCTTGCTGTCCTAGGTCGGGTCGGGCTTCCTCCAGCACCTCGACGCGAGAGTTGATGGCTTTGAGGCGTCCTAACTCCTCCATCACTGTCGTCATCTGGGCCTTACAGGTCTGCATGTCGTCCTGGAGAGAGTAACACACACAGTTGTTCCTCTGCTTTATTTCATCTATTTTTTTTGTATCACCTTTAGCCTAACCTAAACTAACCTAACCTAACCTAACCTAACCTAAACTAAACTAAACTAACCTAACCTAACCTAACCTATTATAACCCAACTTTAACCTAATCAAATTCACCTAATTTTACTTGATGATTAAACATCCTAATGCTTATACCTGGGGTGTTAGGTTAGGTTAGGTTGATTAATCTTAAGGTAAAATAACTGGGGTCCTAATCTTTTTTAGGCTCATAATGTAATTATAATAATAATAGAAGAAGAAGAAGAAGAACTCAGTAAGACTGTCATACAGGTTTACAGTTGTTTGTGGCATATACTGTATATAAACTATGCAGCTATACAAATGAGCATGAATATAGACGAAGTAGGTATACGGTGCGGGCAGGGCGGGATTCAGGAGTGGGCAAAGTGGGCAGCTGCCCAGGGGCCTCCACAATCAGATTCAGATTTACCCCCGAGGGGGCTAGTTTATTGGGCACCCCCTTACATCCTGTGCAAGGTGAAGCGCAGAAGCGTTTACAGCGCCCAACAGGGAAGTATGAAAAGTTCATACTTGCCTTTATGACTCGTACATTAAGGGCGTAAAAGCCTGAAGGGTCATAGGTTTTGTCAAGTTACATAAAGTGAGAGAATGATGAGTGTGTGGGGGGAAAGTTCCCGGTACATTTCATCTGTTTATGGCAAAGAGTGGCAGGTCCCTAATAATGTCAAATGCCAGGCCTGTGACTAGGAGGAGGGGAGAGGGCCTCCACAATCTGGGGGCCTCCACATATTACAATATTTTATTTATTTGTTTATTCATCTGGATTATTTTTATTTCCATTCTTTAAAATTCATGTTTATCTATTCCATCATGTAAAACTATGTTCAGCAAGAAGGGTGATAGAAATTAGGCTAGCTACTCCTTGAAATTCATGAATACCTGGTTTCCTATGAACAGTATATTTTTAATGAATGATATTGTTTGTGTTGCTAATAATATATTTAGAATTCCACAAACATATATTGATTAAAAATGAACTACATGGAATAACGAAATTGAGATTAAAAAAAAACAAATAAAATATTTTTTTTCATTATCACCTCATTACGAATGCCATCAGGGCACTGTGTTTGTTGACAGTCGGTCGGAGGGGGTTGGGCCGTGTAGTATCTGCACATCGGTTGTCATGTGTCTGTCGATTAAAGAGGAGACTTGCGTCGCCCATGATTCGTGAACTTCCCACGAGTAGACATAAACATGTCTTGCAGATGTAAAATGAGAGAGAGAATTGTCATGTGTGCTTGTTGAGTGAAGTAGATGCCGCTCAGTGATGAATGATCTTGTCAATTGTCATTTCCTAGAACATGTCTTGCAAATGTACTGTGAGAGTGCGAGAGAGAGAGTCGATTGATGCTTGTGCTTGTGTGTGGGTGGGTGTGCTCTTAGGTTATACGTTCACATATATAATTGTGCTTTAAGATATTACAGGTCAATTGGCTGCAAGTTGACTTATTTTTATGTATTTTGAGTACATTAACTATGTCAATGACGGATTCTGTCAGTTCCACGATCAATATATACAGTATAACACAGTATAGTCAATGGTGAAAAGGAGGCGAACCTACGGCGAGCTTTAGGCGTGGGACTGGGAGAAGTCAGAGAGAGGTCATACTCTTACCCAAAATTCCAAATTTTAAAAATATGTGTCATAATAGGCTCAGCCACCTGGCTTTGATGAGTATCGAATATGACATGCTCAGAGAGATTGACTTCGAAAAGTTGATCAAAAACTTTGCAGCGGCCAGGTCACGTAAAGTGCCTGGTCTGTAAATAAAGGTAATGTTTATTTTCTATTTTGCAATTGATCAATGTTTGTGTTCAATATATCCATTATCCATGGTCGATGGCAGGTGTTTTTATTAATATTCTTGTTTTTTCCAACATGTTCAGACTTTTGTTATAATTTTATCAAATTCATTAAATTGTTTGTTTTACTATTGGATGCAAAACTTCAATTTTATTTATAGTTAATATTTATTCTGAATCTATCTGACCTTGGACTTAAAGAAGCCTATACATGCATTCTTGGACAGAACCATTATTTGAGTAGAGGTTTATCTGATTAATAATGCAAAGAATCATCTCTCTGTAATAACTAATATTATATTCTTTTCTGTGAAGTCTCTTTAAAATTTTTGACATGTGCGGGAGTAGCTATATCAGGGCTGGTCGACTTGAAACCACATGAATGACTCCAGTCATGTCTCACTTTTGTGTGTGTGTGTGTGTGTTGGGAATTTGTACACTATCAATAAATATACAGTTAATTAAAAATTTCTCAATGTTCTAATTTCCTCAATATAACTGCATATGGCTTCAAAATTCTCCAAAGAAGTGTTCAAATTTCAAAATTTCCCGGGGGGCTTACAGCGCCCCCCGGAACTCCCAGATGTTTATGTTCGCTTCACTCGCCACCCCACCCTCTTGGGTAGTTATAATGAGGGGGGCCTCCACAAAGAGGCTGCCCATGGGCCTCCACAGGTCTAAATCCGGCACTGGGTGCAGGTAGACCGTGGGAGTATACTGTGTGCCGAGACAGTGAAGGTAAACAGTAAGGCCACTTGACCAAGGATAACTGTCAACTGTTTATTTCCAGGAGGGTCCTTTACTTAGGCTTACTCTTGGTCTGTAATGAGTAATAGTTTGTCTACTCGAGTGAAGGTTTATTTGGTATAATTCAAGAAGCATGACATTGTTCTTGGACTATCCGAGGCTGGTGGATCACAGTACAACATTCTCTGGTTTATTAATATAGAAACTCAATCTCTTCTTTTGCTGTAGCTTCATCTATTATGTATTTATTCGTTTTAGCTTCGAATTTTCTGTTTTAGTTTTGAGTTGTTGAATACTACAGGAATAAATGGTTTTTAGAAGTTGTGATCAAGGCGCACGTCTCAACCTCTACGTCCTCCGTTACAGAGAGAATTGAACTTCTCGTGCATATCGACGACAGTTGACAGGAGAGTAATGACGTGGAGGGAAGCCCTTGGCCACCACCTCGTCGTCCCCAGTCACAACCATCTAAATGCTACACTCTGCTGCTTTGACCTCGTTTTTTTTTCCTTGCAGCTCAGAAGTACAGGAGTGTAGCACACTATAAAAAACACTGCAATTCTTATCTTTACTGTCTTTTTATGGCGCAGAGAGAGCCATGGAGGTTGATACAATACTTAAACTATTAACGCCAGGATGGAGCAACGGGTTGACTAGCTACCAGTCTTGGTTTACATAATTATCTCTAATGGCGCTGCACTGGACAGGTTGCAGCATTAAGATTTATACGAAGTGTACGATATACTAATAAGAATTATAGTAATAATAAGATAAATGTAAATAAAGTTTAATCCTGCAAACTGGGAGCACACGTCACGTAACAATACTGTATAAGGCACTACAATTATCAGTCACGTAACCTCCAGCACAACTAACTACTGTGGTGAAGACGAAAGGCAAGCATCACTCCGCGTGCTTCCCTGATGGACGCTGTAAACGCTTCTGTACTTCGTTCTGTACAGGAAGTAAAGGGGTGCCCAATAAACTAGCCCCCTCGTGAGCCAAATTGTAAAAAAAAAAATGTGGTGATGACGTGGTGGGTTATGTACTGAAGATCTCCAATACTGTAGAGCCAGACGGGGGCTAACAACAGACGAATATATTCATCACGGGGTTGACCGCGTACGCAAAAGGTTATCTTCACTAACATGAGTGAGAAGGGTGATATATAGGGCATCTTTTATTACAACAGCAAAATGATAAGAGGCACGGATACATCTACAGTGGGTCACAGTGAACCCATTATGTTAACACTAAACACAGCGTAGTGTTAACAGGCACTGAGTAATGACACGCCTAAGGAGATTAGTTATACGATATATCAAACAGCCACAGTTGGTAGTTATGTGAGGGACAACAGCCCCCTAGGACAACAGCTCCCTAGGACAACAGCTCCCGAGGACAACAGCTCCCTAGGACAACAGCTTCCTAGGACAACAGCTTCCTAGGACAACAGCTCCCTAGGACAACAGCCCCGAGGACAACAGCTCCCTAGGACAACAGCTCCCTAGGACAACAGCTCTCTGGGACAACAGCCCC